GTTAGAACTCGTTGATTATAATAATTTAAGTCAATTATTACTTATGTAACAAATTTTTGTGAAACGAAATTTGTTTTGTCGATGCTTTGATTTTTCGATGCTAGATCAGTTTTCACTGTTACATGAAGACTCTTAATAACCTTCTTGTAAATTGAAAAACAATATTCAATGCGAGCTTCTAAAATACGAATTCTATAAATTTTTTCGAATGAATCAGTTTCGGTTTCATTTAATTAAATTCACAACAGTTTTTAATGTTTAGAAATATTTAAGGCCAAAACAGACGTTGGACCGACGTTATCTCAAAGCATTATTCAATTCAAAATTTTGTTATTTCGTATTTTGATGTTCTAACAAATAATTTCCAAACTTATGACTAATAAGTACTAAAATTATCTATTATATTTAATTTATTTAATTAAAATTATTGTTCCGTAACAAAATATACTTTTATATCATTATTTAATTTCAAAACACACTATCATGGTGAAGTTTTTTTATATGTAGTATTTAAAATGAAATTTGTTTTAAAATTTCACAATGTCAGTCATTGAACTTGACAATTTTGTTTTTGCTTTTTATTTCTTTCTCATTACTCTCTGCTTTTTGTTTCTATCTTCTTTTTCATTTTTATTATTATTTTAAATTTGTACGATATTTTCTTTACTTTTTCATAAAATTTTCATTAACTTTTTTAATTCTATATTCTTTTATAAATACATAGTTAATGATTTTAGTGTAGTGTACGAGTAGCCTATCTCTTCTTTTTACTCTCATTACAACAAGATTTTATAGTTTTTGTTTAGTATTATTTAATAAAAATAATAAAGTAATGATATTTACTTAAAATAATGTATGTATATGCGTATGTAGCAATAGGAATTCATAATCGAATGATTTTATCATATGAGAATATTAGCAATAAATTAAATATTACTGGTAATTCTAGTAAAATGACAATCTCTTACAAAAATATAAAAATATACATATATACATACACAAATCTGATACGAACAAGCATGTACTACTATGTATGCATAGGTACAGTACAAAGTACAAATATAATGTGTGTATGTATGCATACTTAATTGAGATAAGTAGTAAAAAATATTACGGGTATTTGTTGTTCTTTCAATTAATTATTTATACCTAATTAAATATATTGTTATTTTTCTTTAATGATGTCATTTTAAAATATTATTGCCAAACATGTTTAAATTTATTGAATGTTATTTATATGTACATATATACATGTACATACATACATATATATTTAGTGTATATTTATATACATGTTTTTCTCGTTATATAATACAATTATAATTATGTCTTAATAAGTATAGTGTTTGGGATTACAATAAATAATGTTTAGGATAATATTTGCATTTGGGATTTTGGGAAAAGCAGAAAAATGTCAGTTAACTCGGATGTGTATATAATATCGACACTTTTCATATATGCAAGCAGTAGCAATGCAATTTATTTTTATTTCTTCCACTTTTGAAACTGGTCTTTCTTTGTCTCTAAATATTAAATATCCCTATTCGCCAAAAGTGTTTATATGAGAGAGAGGGTTAAATATAATGAAAATCTATTAATGCACGCTCCAAATTTAATTCTAATTTTAATTTAATCTAATAATCTGAGTTTATTACACGCTGCAAGTTAAGCTATCATCACTATAATCACTGGAATACGGCTATAATAATATGGTTATCAAATACGCAAAGTGGCTAAAAGCATTCCCTCATTTTAGTGCAAATAATTTTAGCTTCAAGTTTTTTTCCCTTAATTTTTCGAACAATTAAAAAATAAAATTTTTTTTTCTTATTTACCACTAATCTGATTAGGAAAATTTACAGCTTTTAGTAACCACTTTCAATAATTTTTGCAAAACAAAAGAAACAAATAACTCAACATTTCCTTTTCTTGGCAATAAATTTGGTGTATTATTTTTTTGTTCTCGTTGTTAACAGTTCTAAACATTGTTCTTTATTGTACCTAAATTGTTTAAAAAAAAAAAATTGTTTTTGTAGAAATCATTAATTTCTACAATTTTTAACCCTTTTTGAATTATTGTTTTCTTTATTTTTTATCAAAAGCAAAACTTTACTAAAACTACTTTACCACATTCCATTTCTCGTATTTTATTCCCCCCTCCACTACCCTCACTATTTTTTCTCTTTCTCTTCTAATTCTCTTCTTTTTTAACCCTATTTACACATTCTTCTTATGTTATAATTTAATTTTATTTCATTTCCTTTTTTCCTTGCTTGCATATGAAGGATAATTTCTTTTTCATTTTTACGTATTTTGTACTCTTGAACATTTTCTCAATGACTGCAAATTGGTAAAATGTAAAATATAAAATGAAGAAAAAGGAAAACTTCAAAAAAAAAAAAAACAAAACATTTTTTATACAAAATGTAAATTTATAGTTTACATACATTGCATAATATCTACCACATACACACATAAAAATTGCGAGCACAATGTTATGTACTCGTCTACAAAAAAAAATGAAATATGTGAGTAAATTGCAAATACATATGTGGTTTTGAGGTTTTTTATTTTTTGCTCAAATTTCACATTTCGGCATTATGATTTTTAAGACATATTAAAAAATTTTAATTCCGCCATAAATAAGGCATGTTTTTTTGTGATTTGTGTGAGAGATCAAGATTAATACTACACAAAACAATAAATTATGTAATCAAAATGAAAATTTGAGGGATTGAGTGATGAGCCAACTGGGGAAACAGGAATTTTTGAAAGGGCGAACTGGCGAAAGAAAACATAAAAAATCTGAAAAACCGAAAAATAGAGAAACAGGCAATCGGTCAAAGGTAATTTGCGTATTGCAGAGTATTAAAAAGGAATGGAGAACTAAAAAACAAACGAAAAAACAAAAAGCGTCCGCTCTATAGATAACAGACCAAAATTAATAATTTCATATTTTGTTTTTTCGAATTCTATTAAAAATTCCTTTAATTTTGGAAAAGATAAAATTATCTTACAATCTCAGGACCAACCGCAATTTTTTTTTTAAATTTTTTCGGCATTGTATTCTTTTCTTTTTCGTTAGAAATTTTAAGTACGTAAGTTTTTTTCGTAGGTATTCCGATTTATTTCTTAATAATAAACAAATATACATATACAACCCTCAGAATAAGTATACATAAATATATTAATAGTATTAAAAGGACATTGAAAAAATGTATTGTACTTTAAAAGGACATAAGAAAATAAAATAACGGTATATACTTATACTTATTCCGTTAAATAATTATATTGCAAAAAAACAATGAAAAATAAAAACCTTAATAATAAAAAACTTTTAAAGTATAATGTAGAAGCCAAGAATGAAAATAATCAGCATTGAAGATGTACTTTATGACCTTTTATGAACAACAACAAGGAAAAAAAAAGAACAAAAAAAAATTAAAATAAAGTAAGTATGTAGGAGATGGAGGAAAAAAATTCCAGACTTGAAAAGAGAAGTGTGGAGGACACTTCTTATATATAAAGAATTTTTATTATTTTAAAATCAATATTAATAGTGGTCACAAATTTTAATTTTAAACTGAAATTCTAAAAAAATAAAGTTGGGTCAAACCAATGGTTTGTATTGTAGCACTTTTCCCTTCAACAAGTGAAAATTCTGCTTTTAAATACAGTCTATGTATACCTATCACACTATTAAAATTATTTTCATTCATATACAAAACTCTTTCTAGGATTGCATATATTTAGGATGAACGATTTATGCAGTCTTTGAAATAAAGCAAAAATTAATATAAAAAGGGGTTAACATAATGCTCGATTTTAAGGGTTAATTGTGTGAGTTAAGGAAAATAATTATATTTTTTAATGTCATGGAATTTACCGTTAGCTTTTTGCGTTTATAGAAATTTGAAAAAACGTACGATTTCGGAAATATAAGGTGTCAAAAATTCAAATTTTACAAATTTCAAGGGGCGATAACTTGAAAGGGGGTGGAGATGGAAAAAAATTTTCTTCTAACGAAATAAACTATTTTTTAATGTTTATAAGCCACTAAAATTTCAAGCTTCTACAGGCTGGGGTCTAGAAGAAAAATGACATCAAAAATTTGGAAAAAAAGGACTTTAGATAACGGTAAATTTGAACGGCCATTTTGTTTTTCTAAATTTTGACTATAGCATACCGCGCTAGGGGAAGCAAGCCACTGCCTTTCTGCGTTTGCAAAATTTCAAAAATGCTTATGGTTTCATTGCAACAAAAAGTTAAAAAAGGCCATTTTTAAGGTTTTGGGGGGGTATAACTTCTAGAGGGGGGGAGATAGGTAAAAATTTTGTTCTACGGAAATAAGTTTCTAGTAAAGATCTATAAAATTTCAGCTTTCTATCTTCAAGGGTGTAGAAGTTTTGTAAACAAAAAAAGTGTCCACGGACGGACGGACGGACGGACGGACGGACGGACAGAGTGAAACTAATAAGCACTTTTTTCAAAAAATTTTTTGGAAAAGTGCTAAAAATAGCTATTATAATAAAAAGTTGACATCAAAAGAATTTAAGAGGGTCCTTTCTAAAATTTGTTCCTTTTTTACTCTAAAAAGTTTCTTGTTTAGTTTTTATATTTAAATGGCTATAAAATAAAAATTTTGTTTTAACAAATTATTCAATTAATTATTGTACACAATATAATTAGAGCACTAATTTGAACATTGCTTAATAATTATCGAATTTTGAAACTGATAAATACAACAAGGAAATTCTTCTGCTAAGCAATTTTCAAAATTGAATTTTCTGATCCTCTTACAAAAAAAGAATTTCAACAATAATTACTGTATGTGCACATAATAAAGTTTTTAATAGACACGGACCTGGATACCAGGGCCGGTTTTAGAAAAAAAGTCTATGAATACCTTGAATGTTTTAAAGATTAACGAGGCACGAGATTAACGAGCAATAAATAAGAAAATGTATAAGAAAAACTAAATTAAAAAAAAAAAATATTACCTTATAAACTTGTCCATATGTTCCATTGCCTACAACTTCAATTAATTCAAATATACCGGCAGGATCCTGTAAATTAAAAAAATAATAAAATTTATTAATAAATTTTGTTAATTGGGAAATTATATATGTATATGTATATATATTTATGTAAAATGTGTTTGTTCACAGTGACTTTTTGTTATAGGAAATAGCCTCGGTTCTATAGTAGTAAATCAGTCGAGACACAAGGCAATAGCATTCGAAAGCAATTTTTGCAAAAATTCTTTGACTATTTAAAAATTTCGTTCAAGACTTATCGAATATACTATACTAAAATTCTACTTTTACGTAAATTATTCTACGATTACTCAATATAAAAAGCCACAACAATTCTGAAATTGAGAGCGCTAGGCCATCCATTGCTCTAATATTTCATACTCCTCCTTTTAGAAACAAAAAATAAGTATATCTACTTATATTTAATATTTTCAAACTTTATCCTAGTAATTTGATCAATTATTTGCATTCCTTTTACTTGAAAATTTCTTATAAATACGAGTGGTGGCGCTAGTATACTCTTCAAGAATATGTCTTAAAAATTTTTTAATCATGTTACTTATATACTATTACTTACATATATACGTGTATAATATGTAAACTCGATATTTATCTTAATTTTTTGAGAGAAAATTACATGAATTTTTTGTAATAGGTTAAAAAAAATTTTATTCTTATCTTCAATAGCTTCTCGTTTTTCCAATAAATTTAATAATTACTTTGTAAAGAATATACTTTGTTACTTACTTAATATTAATTTAAAATTGATTGACCGGTTCTTCGTTTTATTTATGATCTTCTTATATAAAGTTTTCTATATTGCTTATTTCCATTAAAATTTTCTGTTACTCTTTCTTTTTTTTTTCATTTCGAGCACAAGTTTAACTAGAAATAATAATTCAGTACTTACTTCAATTCTAGATTTTTTATCTTAATATTCTCTTTAGTATTATTGTTTATTATTAAAAAAATGAGTATTTTGAAAAACTTGAATATTGACTTTAATAAAACAAAAAAATTAGTTATGAATAAAACAATTATGAACAAATTCGCCGACTATGACACAGTAATTTCATTCATTTGACATTTCTAAAGCTAATTCAACAGTTGTATGTCAAATTAGTTGCTGCATTTATTAATATCAAGAATATACGATTATCATTATAATAAAATACACTAGGCTTTAAATTTACATCGCAAAAATGTCAGTGTATTTGAACAGTTGCATGCCTTTACATCATCTTCGAACAGTTGCATACGCAATCTCGTGCATTTATTACAAGATCTTGTGTCGTGTCACAATCCTGATGACAGAGAATTGGCATCAATGATTGACATATCAAACAAAGTTTGTGGGCAAGGAGAACAAAATGTATGCCAATTGTGATGTAAACGTAGATATTCGAAGTATATGTTTAGAAATTTATCGTAAATTATGTTATTCTTTTCACAAAATATTCTCGTATTTCCTGGTAATTTACTGAATGCAGAACTAATTTATGAAATTTCGAATGAAACACATTAATTTTATGTAATATTCTTTTATGTGTTAGTATTTAAGTAAAGTTGAATAGAAATTATGTTTTTATTCAAAATAATATAACCAACATTATTGATCATTATTAAAATACAATATTATTTTTGTTATCATTTTAAATCTCTATTATAATAAAGTATAAACTAAATTATAACATAATAAGAAAAATAAAATTAAAGGAATGATCGTTTTTCAGAAAATTTTATTGATCTACACCACTACATTCACAATTTGATTAACGGGAAGATATTAATGCATCATTTACTTTGTACACACACCCTAAAAACAAACGAATCGAAATTAACATTTTGATGACTTTTTTACCGAGTGCGTTGCATGCAATAAGGGAGGTTATGCGATAGCACCAAATTTCACATATCGAGTTTTTGGTGAAAAAACACCTGTCAATGGTAAGCGAATGCAATTAAATTATTTTTAGAGAAATGTATATCGACCTATCTGGCAGTTCGTCTGTGCAGGTCGGTATCTGAAGATCGACTGGACCGAATTTCACGAAAATTTATATCTGAGTTTACTTTAAGGGTGAGAAAGTTTGAATAACCTTTGAAATATGTCAAGCCTCTGGAATTGGTACCTTACCAGAGGTCGATTCCATGTTTTTGGCTATTTTCAAAAAAATATTTAACAAATTTTTGTTAATATTTTATATATAGATATAAATATAGCTTTTGGCAGAAATTAACCGTCAGCAACTTAACCTTTACTAGGGGTCAAATTTACATTTGTGCACATATAAAGAGAAATAATAAATCAATTTCCTTGAAGCTTTATGATAAATTTGGGATATAAAAAAATTAATTTATACTTAAATATTTTGCGAATATTAGAGCTTGGAAATCGAAATACGAACCGATTTTACATTTTTTATATCTAGAGAACTAATTAATATCTATGAAACTATCTTAGAAGTAAAGGAATCCTGTTTGCTACGGAGGTCACTTTAAGAGAATTCGGATGGTATGAAATTACCTTCTACTAAAAGCCAAATTTACATTTCTCTTATAGGCATGTTAACTAAAAGCTTACTAGCGTCCTTAAAACGTGAAAGAAATGTTTAAAAATATGTCGGTTATGTGCTGACCACGTCAGAATTTTTTGTTCATTCTATCTCTGTATATATATGTGTATATTTAAAACAAGATGATAATTTTCAAAGTAACAACAAGAAGATTAAAAATGTTATAAGTGTGTAAAAACCGGATTGCATAAAATTAACCTAAAGCATTATTGTCGCATTTGTTGTAATTCACAAAAAAAAAAAAATCAAAACAAATTGAGAAAAAATTTTAATTTTATTTTTCATTTTGTATCAATAACATTTTTAGAAAAAATTTTTAATAAAGGTAACAAAAAAAAAAACATGCTTTTTGAATCATTTCAAGTATTTCAACATTTTTGCATTCTGGTAATTAAAATTTTAGTTAATTTTTTTTTAATTGGATTTTTTTTTACTCATTATCTTGCATCAAATAATCTTAATTTTATAATGAGCAAAGGCATCATAAATATAGGTTGTTATCCTAATGAATTGAAATTTTTTAAAATCATAAATAAACGGAAATAAGAAATTTTTATTTGCGGTACTTTTTTTAAAAAATCAAATGACATTCATAACAGTCAACAATGTTACTTCAATATGTGTTCAATTGTACTAAATATTACATAAGAGAAAAGATTTCATCTCAAAAACACAAAACTCACACTAAAAGCAAAATTTCTTCAAAATTTTTAAATTTTTACTCTATAATTGCACTCAGACAACAAAATTAGAAATTACAAAACTAGAAATAAACTATTTATATTTAGTACTCTTTGAGCATACGGTCGTACTCAAATTTCAACAGTATTTAAGACATGACTAAATAACTATTGAAGTCGAATGAGAGCTACCTCAAGGAATCAAACATTACAGTACAAATAACAATAAAATAATTTCATTGTGTGAAATTTCGATATTATAGTTTCAATAATTTCTAAAGAAAAGGGAAATAATTTTTGAACATACGTTCATTCACAAAAATATGTCAATTTTCAACTAAAAAATTCAATTTAAACTTTTATTATTAAATTAAATTCATTAAATTAAATTCATTAAATAATAAACTGATTTTACCATATTTATTTTATTAAATCTAAATCTGTATACGTATAAAAAAATGTACATACTCACTTAAAACGCAAAAATAACATTGACATTGACATTTATCTGTCAAATACATTATGATTGCTAATAGTAACTATGTAAGTAATTTGGTATTTTTTTTTTATTTTAAACGATAAATTAAAATGTACTTAAATGGATATTAAGTGTATATATATGTATACTTAATGCCATACATATATTTCAGGTATGTACATATATGTATTTATAAAATAAGATGAAGTTTAATCAAATAAGAATATCAATTTTTTTTTTGATTTGATATCAATTTTATTTTTTTTTTTTCAATTTTGGGAATATTTTTAATAATTTTTATGATTAATTTTAATGAAATGTCATTAATATTTAGCTGTCAAAGAAAAAAATAATGAGATAAATTTTTGAATGAAAATAATTTTTTTAATATTTAAAATAATATTTTATTATGTACACAAATACGTCATTACCGTAAACATATATATACATATACGTATCTGGAAATATTCTCAAATTCACATTCTTATGATAAATGTATGTATGTTATATATGAATCGTTTATTTGACGGAAAAACGATATGTTTATAAGAGTCAAAACAAAAAAAAAACGCGAACGAAAAATTTTCCATTTACTTACTTACTTAGAAAGTTTTGTGCAATCCTGAATAATACACACAGAAAAACCAAAATTTCTAAAAACAAAACTAACTATAAGTCAAAAATTCAAATTTTCAGTTATCAATTTCTGGAAGACTAACAGGCTTATTCTAGATACACATGGTTAGATGCGATAATTAAAAATTTCGTGTTTCTACTACAGCATCCCGCAACCTTGAAGTAACAACAAGAAGGCTTTAAAGCCCATCTTAACATATGTATAATCATGCCAGAACGAATTCTAAATTAGGTTTCGTTATTAAATTCAGGAAAACAAGAATCGGGAAAACTGTTTATTTATCATATACGTTAGAACTCATATTGGAGTACTCATATCAAGTTTGGGCATCTTACTGTGATATTTCAAGGCTGAATTTTGAGTTTTACCAGTTTTTCTTCTCAATGCATACGATATACTTAATACTTAATAAGAAAATTTAATATTTTATTGAATTTTCATTTTAAATGTATAACATTAAATGAAATTTTCAAGGAAAAGCTACTTTCTTATTAAAAATATATATAATATAATATGTAAGTAAGTATATCGAGAAATTTTGTTTGTAAAATATTTTAAAAGGATACTTATTTTTTTTTTCCTTTTTTGTGGTAAGTATATTAAAACCAATTCTGTATACAAATACAAACATATTTACATAATTTTTTTTGTTATAAAAT